GTCTGCCAAACAGCCTCATGCTTGCAACAGGCACAGCTAAGACCCCCTTATTGCTTGCAAAGGGCTGTTCCCTCGGCGTTAACTGCTCAAAGAGTGCAACAAACCAGTGTGAAATTCTGAGTTCTTATTTCCCAAAAAAGCAAGGTGAACTCTGGTGCTCCCCATGCTCCTGAGATGCTGAGCACAGATGAGCGTTGCTCAGTGCCTTGCAGGATCAGGCTTATAAATGTTTGCACCGCACCAGTTGATAGCGCTGCTATCTCTGTGCCTCTCATGAACTAACCGGTGATGGCCATGGGGGTTTAAAGGACCAGGTGCTGTGACAGTTATCGTATCTCCCTGGCAAACGTGATGTTCACTGCAGGTTCCTAACTCACCAGCAAAAATGCAGAACCCTCTCCTGGCGCAAGGGTTTTGTGAGCAAACACAGTTTGGGAAGGGAGCTTCGCAGTCTTTGGGTCTGCCCTGCAGAGCCCTACCTCTGCAGATCATCACGTCCTGTCGTTCCATTCCTGTTTGCTTTAAGTCACCAAAGAGGAGAGAGAAAGAGGTAAATGAAAAGAGAGGAAACAAAAACTGGGAGAGCAAGCACGTCCTGGCAGATGAGAGGAGCAGAGTCCTTCAGTGTGAATGCTCTGGATGACAGTTTTGTGGCTTTTGGTACAAAATGGCGTTTTTGTGTGTCTTCTGTCTGGTAGTAAGAATGGGAAGGCGCTCTAGTAATTCTTTCTTCCCTTTGGTCTGTCAAAGCCTAATGTCTTGGGTCTGGTTCTATTGATTTGATGATCCATTTATTACACAGTCTGAAGTTTTAACTCTCAGGGAAAAATGACCAAAAGATGAAGTTATCTAGACCCAGAGGAAATGAAAGAGGGAATGAAAAACTTTTGAACTACAGACGTTTAAGCTTTAATGAAGATTCTGAAAGAAGACGTCATTCAGGCTATTACAAGAAAGGAGATCTTGGGCAGGACCAGCATCTTGGAAGCAGAAGCCTTTTTACAGCACATGTTATTAGTGAAGGCTCGGCAATGCCAGGCTTCAAAGGCCCCATAAAAACTCCTTTGAGTCATAGGTAAGAGTTTCCATTGACTTCAGTGGGCTGTGGATAGTGCCCCACTTGCAGACTCTTAATCCTTTGTGTTATCCCAGATCACTGCTGTAGAAATGATTGCAACAGCCAACAACAAGGAGGCTTACAGCTCCCAAACAGAAGGCAGCAGGTGAGCTCTTATGAGTAAGATCTTATTTTCATGCAAATGTCCTTGGTAAGTGAGAATAAGGAACCAGAGAAAAAAATACCTTGAATAGGAGATACAAATGAAATTGTTTTTCAATTGAGCATTTTCAGTGTATGCCTTTATGCCTCAGATAAGACATTTATTGCGAGGCAATGAATTAAAGTGAATCGCAATTGATGATAATGCCCTGTCATAATAAATCCAACCTCTTAGATATCCGTCAAGAGGTATTCTCCTGAGTCCTCACCGAATACACTACAATTAGTAGACAGCCAGAGGGGAACTGGGGACACAGACCGTGTGGTATCATCACTGTCTTACTTCCACAAGCATCCCACTTTGTGGGATTTCATTAACTGAGTCATTAGCATTAATATAGCCAGTGTTAACCTGCTATGCTTGGGTAGTCTTCTAGGATAATAGGTTCCCTCTACCTGTGTGAATTACGATGGGAGACAATAGTGTGTCATTAGTTCCTTGAGTCATTCCCAGCCTGCCACGGAGGAGACCTAAGTGTGGTGTTCCCTGTACGTATGGTATGAAATCTGGCCCCACCGAGCCAGTGGCAGGAGTCCCATTGCCTTTGAAACATCAGAATTTCATTATAGCATGTAAACTCCTTTGTATCTTATTTCACAGTATTTAAATACTGCCCTCAGAGACTTGGGGTCCCACAGCCTGTGTGAGACTTTTCAGTGGTATCATAATACGAAATGGTATTTACATGTAAACGTTTCAATTTGTGTTCTGAGCACAGGGAAATGCTGTGATATCTCTACATTTTTTCCACACCGTGGTGCCTGGTCTACTAAGAATGACAGCATATTTCTGAAGCATTTTGATCTGTGCATGCATGTATGCATACCTGTACTTGTCTTTTGGTGTGTGTGTTTGCTGGTGTGCTTTTATCTTTTAATGACATAAATAGTGACATATATTCTAAAGATATGGTAAGGATATAAATTAGGGTGGATTTTGAAGTGTTCACTTAAAGTATTTGCCAGAAATGTTATTCTCTTGCAGTAATGCACATTGTAATGCTTTTCCTGCTTACAAAAGGGAAAAAAAAATGGAGCAAATTGTGTGTAAGTAAATACATTCCTCCTCACCCTTAAGTTTATCGCTGTCAGCTGATATAATAGGTTTCTCACCAGAGTTGAGGCAGATGAGTGGGCTCTGAATCCTGAAGGGAGGCAACCAGCATAGCTATTTTGTTTTTAGATTTCAAATGGTTTTGAGGGCCTGCCATCAGATGGGGAGAAGTCCCGGACTTTGATGGTTGTTAAATTACAGAGTGCGCGTTTTGACAACCCAGCAGAGCCCAGGCTGGGTAGGAATTCATTACACCCAGGATGCAGAGCGCGGGATGGACGTAGCTCCCCGCCAACAAGCACTGCACCGGGCTTTTCCCGGGGCCCAGCATCATGGCTTTCTGGCGGCTCTGCAGCTCGGTTACTGATGGCCCATCAGCTGGGGGTCAGTGGCGGCGGCAGGGGACCGCAGGCTGTGATTCATTGAGTGCACCGTTAGGGATCTGTAGCTTGCCACTCTCAGCCAAGAGCAGCACATTAGCTACATGACATACATTATGATAGTGCCAGCAAAGTGGTCAGTGCCTAACCGGGATATATTGCAGCCTGCGGAGTGGCTGAGGGCTGCAGCACAGAACATATGGAGATTATTTCCTGAATTTATGCAGCACATGTTTTCCTATAAATTAAATTCAGAGAAAATGTGTATCATAATAGGGTGATGCTCACAACAGCCTTCCCTGTTATGAATTACAATGACCTCTCTCAACTCGCTGGGTGCCCAGCGAAATGGCTTCATGCAGTTAGAAACAATAGCGTGTACGCGGTGTCAGGGTCTGAAAGCCTGACCAAAAGGCGCTCTAACTAAAAGCAGGGGCTTTTTTCTTTTTTTTCCCCCCTCCGTTGCTTCTCTGCTTCTTCTTCTTCTTCTTCTTCTTCTTCTCTAGAAACTGCCCAGTTTCTTCCTGAAGTTGCCGAGAGGGTGGGCAGATGCCCGGGTGTCTGCTCCATAATTAATTTGGTGCTGCCCTTGCCGAGGGACTGCTAGATGGCAAAGGCAGCTCTGGATGTGGTGGCAGCCCCAGGTCATAGGTGAGGGCGGTGGGGGCTGCCAAAACAGCAGGATGGGGGTCCTTAGCCAGAATAATGAGCAAAGCAGCACGTGTCCCTTCTGTGTCCTTGGACTGAGGATCCCGAGTCTTTTCTAGGCAAATATTTGATGTTCTGTTGCCTGGGGCTGGGGCAAAGTCATCTTTGCCTTTTCCTTGGGTGTGCTGAAGCAGCTGAAGGAAAAATGTAGTAGAGATAGTCATTGTAACTACCTTCCTAAGCATGAAAGATAAAGTTCCTTACAAGTCTGTGTGTGAAATCTTTAGTAGAGGAAATATAGGAGTTGCCATGTAGGAGCAAACTGGAAATTCCTAATTAAAATATAATATATACACATGTGTATGTATATATATATATACACACACATATATAAAGCAATGGGTATCAGACAGCAAAACAGTCTAGTGTTTACTTTGGGGCAAATGGCTGTGGAGTCAGAACAGACTGATAGAGTGTTTTGAGCTGTGCTTAAGGGACTTGCTTTTTCATTTGCAGCTGATTACAGGCTAATAGGATTTCAAAGATTTCTGGGAGGCAACAGTTCACATCTCATTGCATTTGATTTTTTTTTTTTTTTGATGTTTCATTTATCATACTGATACCTACCCTTAGAAAAAATGTTATTACTCTCCTGTTTAGCTTCTTGAACTGATTTTTTCCCCTTGGTCCCTTGCTGCTGTCTAATTGGCAGTTTTCAAATCATTTGGGTCTTTCGGAAAGATCCTATCAGCCTTTTGTGTGATAGAAGAGAATGGATCATTGGAATAAAAAATAATGTTGCGAATCTTTTTAGTTTTAGTCCTCTCTTCTTTGTCTTTCACTAATACATGCATGATGTGGCTTGTACTGTTATGTTTTCTTAATGAAAATTAACAATTTGAAATCAACTCATGGGAACAACTAATACAGCTGAATTTTATCAGTACAGACTAATTCTGTGACCGACCTTCTCTGTTTAGTGGCAGTAGTAACCCTAGTTATTTTTCTTTAGCAGCTCACATGTTGGGAACACACACTTAGCCTGTAAATATGGATTCAGGAGGAAAATGAATACGGCAGTGTTCAAAGCAGCCAAAAGCTTAGAAATAATGTTCTGCTGTGACTTTTCCAAACTGACATCTTGATGTTGGGATTATAAATGAAACCATTGTTCCAGCAAAGGCCAAGACTAATAGAAAGCCTTTATTACTGGTCCATTGGCTAATTCTGCTTGTCTAACCCCTTTGGATGGACACAGTGTCAGAAAACATACTCACAGAGGTTGCTTTGTGTGAGATTTGGCCTGCTGAGTGATTACATGTGGGCACAAAGATATCTCAATGACAAGTGTTCTTTGACTAAAATTTGTAAAGTCATTTTCTTTCCCTAGGCCTTGGAGAGGAGTGAACTGATTTTTAATCTACAGCTTCTATGAGTGATATTTGCTTTGTGTCCTATCACCCTTCTATTCAGCCATTCTCCCCTTCCAAGCAGGTAAACCTCTGCTTAGAAGAAATAGTTTCTTCTGCTGAGCCTCGGTGCAGTTGACAGCTGTCATATACAAGCACTATACTTGTATACGTGTCTTCAGAGCTAGACAGTCTTAAAGAGCTTTAATCTTTTCTCTTTACACATGCAGGGAATGCCTAGGAGCCAGAGACCCCTATTGTGGCTGGGATAACAAGCAGAAGCGATGCACCACCATTGAGGACAGCTCCAACATGAGCCTGTGGACTCAAAATATTACTGAGTGCCCAGTAAGTGGAAGGAGTGGAAATACGTTATATATACTGGGGTGTGAGTGTGTGCGTATGTGTAGAGGGGAGACGGAAAGTCAGTGTGTGGCAGCCTGGTGAGGACTGATGGGAGAGCATGGAGAGCCCAGTGGCACATACCATTATCTGTGCACAGCCTCTTGTTTAGAACACAGAGACCCCAAATGGATTTGTTTGCTCCAAAAGAGGGATCCCAAAACAATCGCTCAGTCCTCCTCGTGCCCACCCATGCCTTGAGTGAAGAAGATTGGATCATGCTGTTGGGCTACTGCTGAGAACCATGTAAGCCCCAGATGAAACTTGAGCTTTCTCAGGGCGGCTCCACAGTCTGTGCCATCTCCTTGGCTTCCCTGCACATCGGGGAAATCAGATTAGCTGACTACAGCATTCTTGGGCAGCGTTCAGTTAATTTTCCTCTTGGATCCCTGAGCTGGGACCGGGAGATGACACTGGTGAAGAAGTCTTGCACTGGCAGGAAGAGGCATCTAGGGAGCAGCAGAGAAACCAGGCATGCATGGGTGGTTTGCAGATGGCACAAAAAGATACAGTATGTACTAGAGAACACAAGGGAAGGGGGGAGTGTAACCAAGAGAGCGAGTCACTTCAGCAGACCAAAGACCAAATCTACGCGATATTGCAAGGAGATGGTCTTCTTTCCTTGCCCTGGTCTTCATCAGATGGAGCAGTTAAAAAAAAAAAAGTGTCTCTTCTTGAATCAGTTTGAGTTGGCTCTCCAGCTCCCTTCCCACACACCCACCCACCCACCTTTGACGACAATATCCAGTTCCTGGCTGTGATCCCCAGAAGCCGTCTGGCCAAATTTAATTCCTACTGCTTGAACTGTTCCTGCAAGGTGGCTGGGGAGGAAAACCAGTCTTGTTAAATAAATTGGGGGGGTGGGGGGGTGGTGGTAGTGGTGATAAATTCTCATTAATGTCCATCGTTATTATCTAACGTCACTTAGCATGTTAATACTGCTAAGTCCAGTAGATAGAGAGAGAGGACTGCATTGGTTATATCTTCAGTATGCTGTTTCTGTCTGGAGGTGCTGGGATGTTTATTCCCCTTATCTTCCTTACTTCTCAGATATTTTCCCAGGAAGTATTAGTCATTACTTCAATCCATCCTCAGCTTGGCAGGCTTAAGTTTTTCACTGCTGGATTCAGAGGCTTGTGTGTTTATAACCCTCTTGTGTTGAATTGGGATGCAGTGCTTCTTGATTGCCCATGCTGTTATCTCGTCCTGCTTAATGTGTGTGTCTGTTGATAGGTGTGTGAGGTGTTAATCCTCTAGTTTGAACATGTCTGCTGTGGTGCACACTAGGGAACAGGCTACTCCAGATCATTGTTTCAAGGTCATAAAAACACACAGAATATTCAGGAGCTTTGGCTGTTCTTGGGGTGCTAGTTTTACATTTGTTTTAGCATTTCCATTGTAGATTATTTTCCATATAGGTGCTCTCATTCTGGTGCATACATCAGCCTTTTGCTCTTTGACTGACAGGCTGCCAAGCTGTTTAAAATCCACATGCAAGTGCTTTCTTTTTCTTTCTCCTCTGCCCCTCGCTGGAATGAATTCACCACTGGCGTGGAGTGGGATGGCTCATTTAAGCACCTACATTAGCAATACCCAAGTATTTCCTTGTGTTCAGTGCACGATGAAGGTCGTAGTCAACAAAGGCAGGAGTCTAGGACAGCATGTGCAAATGACCACTGGAAAGGTAGGGGAATGCAGTGACCCAGTGCCAAATTTCACTCCTGAAAAAGACCTGTCTGGGAGTTTAGTTGGATGAGTTCCCATCTTAAGAAGTCCTGGCTTTTCTCACCCCACTTTCCTGGGCCGAGCACCAGGCGCTCAGCTGTGCTGGTACAGCTGTATGTGAGATCACAGTCAAGTGTGACATGGCATAGATTAAAAGCACCCCTCCCAAGTAAACTTTTCCTAACCCAGATAATGTCAGTGAGCTCTTCTGCAGCCTAGCCCACAAACAGATGTCCTGGCACAGCTGAGAGACTGGCATGCAGCAACTTTTAAAGCCAGAACTGGCATATTATTGAATTATATCCTACAGGGTCCAGGCATTTGTGCGAGTCAACCACAACACTAACACAACTTGACTGCTGCTCTTGTGCAAACATGCTTGTTCAAAGCTAGTCTGCACATCTTCGTACAGCACTATATTGTATCACAGATTCTTACTCTCCAGCTTTAACATTAAGGGACCTTAGACAGAGGGTTAATCATATAGTGTTAACCTAGTACCTTGGGCAATGGTTAATATATGTTACTACCAGGTAACACCCAGCACCTCCTAAAGGTTCATTGCTAAGGTTGCAATGATGTCAAACATTTTAACATTAAGAAATGATAGGACACATATTGGACATGCTGCTCCTCTTTTTCCTGTATGTGCATGTGTCATATCAGGGAGTTCTGAATACATGATTGCATGCTGTTTATTCTTAGGCTTGGGAGAAGGGAGTGATGTGCTTTTTGGTTTTAGGAAAACTGAAAAAAGCCACATCCTACTCTATCTTACTGATGCCAACATAAGCTACCAGCAGGAAAGGAACTTTAGATTTGGCTAACAAACTCCATTAGCCAAGCTCATGGGGTCACTGTTGATGGTGGTTGGCAAGTGAGGAACTGAGTATTCCCAATAAAGTGTACAGGCCTTACTGGGAGCCAAATGATGCTCTTCATCCCAGTCCCACTCTGCATGTCCAGCAACCCCTTACCTTGGTCATCTGGCATCTGCTCCATGCTACCCCATTTACTTGCTAATCAGTGCCAGTCTCCCCACTCCTTTTTTGGGGTGTCTAGCAGATTTCTACCCTGCTCTCAATTCATGTGGGCTCAGCCAGCCAGAGCTGCAATGCCCAGGATAACCCTGCTCTGGCCCACACTGCATGCCCAGTGCACAAAGAAGACTTCAGGTGCCAGGATCAAAATCTCTGAGTCTCTGAAAACTGAGAATTTTCGTCCCCACCTCCCAAGGACTTTATACCCTAGACAGATTTGAATGGCTTTTCATGGGAACTGCAAAAAGGTGTTAGAAGGACATAAAGTTCAGTTCCTTGCTCTGAACACTAGTTTGTTTCAAGGAAAAGGTTGCTACTGATGGACATTCTTTTTCCCTAGATTTGATTTTAGAAATGGTTGAAATATTTTGACTGAAATTTTGCAGGAATTTTCAGCTTCTATCAAACAGCCAACATGGAAACTTCCAGCTGAAGTAATTAAAACTTGGCGAAGTTATAAACAGTTGACATCTGAATCCTAAGAAGGAGCATAGATGAATTGAAAGAACAAGGAATGCTTCTAGCCTTATCTGTAATATCAGAATGAACATTGAAAATATCCTGGTAGCAGGGGTCAGTCTGAATTTTTAGATCCTGCACTTGAGCATTTAGATGATACAAGGAAGAAACAAAAAGGTGATGCCTTTGGTGGGAGTATGGCAGTTTATAAAATACGAGAACTCTGGAACTGGTAATATTGCGAGGTGAGAGAAAGGCATTTGATCACATGTGTTTTAAAAGATGTCCTCTCTGTCTGATGGGCACTGTGTTGGCTACAAAGGGTTTGCTTTGTAAAGATATTCCTGAAAAAGATCAATGCATATGGGTTTTTATCCCACTTCCCAAGTTTGCTCTTTTGAAGATATTTTTATGAATTTAAAGATGGAATAATAATCCATATGTAATTTCTTAAGTATAAAAACTTTCCACACTCACAACGTGACATGTTTATAAATCTCAGCATTTCAGTTATGGCTGCTTATTTGTTTAATTTTTGGGTTGCTTCCCAGTATCACTTATGAGCCAATAATTATTTGTCAGCTTTTTTTTTTTAATTGAAGCCACGGGCCATATCATACCATTGATTTCTGAACAGAACTCCCTGCTGGAATCAGCAAGGCTTTCTGGCTCAGAAATGAATAGGAATGATCCAATACTTGGATTATGACTTTTGTAAGGCAGAAGGAAAAAGGAGATAAAAATCTAGTATTAAATATCTCAAAGTAGTTCTTTTGATTTTTTCCCCCCTGACTTTCAGCAACCCAACTGTATTGATTTTTGACTGCATTCATGTTTAAAACAACAAATTCAACAACAACAACAAAACTCAGTGTTCTCTTCTCTGGGCATCTTGCCTTGTAACCTGCAGCCCAGAGCAAATTTTTATGACGACATGATAATCTATTGCAAACAAAGGTTTACAACAGATGCTTGAAACCCCCCGACTGCAGCCTGATGAGCGCAGTAACAGATCTAAATTACTTCCATGCCACTGCTGCATATTTCTGATGCTGCTGTAGATGGGTGAGAGGGGAAGATGACAGCCCACCGGAGGTGCATTGTGAGTGTTTAACGTAGTGCCAGACTTGGAGAATAAGCACAGAACAGCGTGTTTCGGAGAATGAGTGTTTGAATGCACTTCTCCCGTGGCTGTGGTTGGCTCTCTGCATGGCTCCCAAGCAGCTCGCAGCCTCTCTGGGCCTCGGTTTCCTCGTCTGTAAAACAGAAGAAATTCTTTTCCCCCCTGGGGCGGCCCAGGGGACTGATCCTGCTGACTGCAGAGCTCAGTGAAGCATGGCACAATGGGGTTTGTCAGTGGTAGCTGGCTCAGATTTGGGGCCAGGGCTGTTCACCGGGGCCCCAGCCTCTTCCTGTCTTCACCCTTCATTGCGTGTGACACCAAGGCCAAGTCCAGCGTTGCCTTTGCCAGCGTTTTTACCAAAGCTGCTGAGCATCCCACCACCCCATGGGTGACACCGGTGGGGATGAGCCACCTGCAGGCAGCTGCCATCCGTGCCATCCCGCCTGCGAGGGCCTGCGCTTCGGGACATGGGGTGGGAGGATGGAGGGAGCCACCGGGGAGAGGGCATTGTGGTCCTGCAAGGTAGCAGGGAAATAGTTGTACCTTGGCAGGGCCAGCGTGGATGTCTTTCTGCCTCGTGTTTCTGAAGTCAGGAGCAGAGGGGAAGCCAGGGCAGGGGTGTTCAGGGCGGCTTTCCAGACATGGTCCTGGAGTTGCTGGATTTCACAGTAGCGGTGGAGCAGGCAGAAGAAGGCAGCGGTGGCCCAGGAGCGATCCCAGGAGGAGCGGGCAGCAGTAATCTCAAGTCAGCCTTGGCGGTGAGGGCCCTAGCAGCTTACTCCCCCAGCCCTCGGCTGAGGGCTCACTTAGCAGCGCTGGTTAAAACAAGGCACAGAGGAGCAAGCTCTGACACCCTACCTCCTGGAAGGTCTTCACCAGGGCTGAAATAGTTCTGTTTCTCATGCTTTTGGTCTGCCAGTACTACCGTATTTTTACTTCTTTACAGTGCACAGGGAGCTCAAGCCCCAGCCTGCTTGGGGCTGTACAGGCATGAAGCAAAGGGCAGAAGAAACAGATGGCAGCGTGGTCTGGTCTATAAATTGCCTTGAGATTAATTCTTTCTCTTTAGCCCACTACGTGATCCTCAGCATTAATTCTAGTCACCACCATCTCCTCTTAGCCTTTTAGGCTATGGCTCTACTTAGAAAGGGAGCCAGTTCTAACTGCGTGTTTGGACAGGGCCAAATTCAGCGAGGCCCTGGTCTCAGCCGGTCACTATGGTTATACAAACCCTAACTGGGAAAATATCCTGCAGGAACTGTCCCAAGCACTGCAGAGGCAGGAGCATAATGGAGTGGGGACAGTCAGCACCGGCCGTTGTGTTGCTTGAAAGGCTGAAGCTGTGCAGCGTGGGATGAGGGAGTGTGGTGGTTTTGTGGCGTGGCAGATAGATAGATGCTTGTGCCTGGTGTGCTGCTGGCTGCGTCGGCTCGGGTGCCTGTACGCACACGTTCGGTATGCGGGGTGGAATTTGGAGGGTAAATATTGATGCGGCATTGTCTGAAAACAGCCCTCTGTTTTGAATCCTGCTCGCAAGCACAGACAGCTCCCATCTAAGCTGCATCTTAATCCTCCCAGCAGCTTTGTGTGGCATTTCTATTGTGGGGCTGTCTCCAGAAATGTAAACTTGCTATTAATGACCTTTTTTCTTTTAAAATTAGGTGAAAAACCTGACGACAAATGGAAGACTGGGGCCTTGGTCCCCATGGCAACTGTGTGAGCATTCAGATGGGGACAGCACAGGCTCCTGTATGTGTAGGTCACGTTCATGTGACAGCCCTCGTCCTCGCTGCGGTGGTCGCGGCTGTGAAGGGGCCAGGATCGAGGTCGCAAATTGCTCAAGGTACCTCAGTGTCTTTGTGCGTTTTAGGAAGGGAACGAGAGTTGTGCCTGTCCACAGCTTAGCTCCTTCCTTGTGTTTCTGTGACCACGTTGTTGCATCCCAGCCAAACTGAGGTATGTGAGGTCCAGCTTGAAGTCAGTGAAAAATGAAGAAGCCCAAGGGCTCTAAGAGAAGGGCCTTCAGCCAGGACTCTTGGGAGATGAGCACCCCAAATTAGTGTACACATTAACCTTCCCTGCACTGTGCCTTGACTTCCCTCAACTGTACAGTGAGTAGTAAGTGACCCATCAGGAGGAGGTGAGTAAGGCAGAGATAGTTCTTAGCCAACTGAACAGCAATAAGCTAAAAAAATCCAATAAGCTCATCATTTTTCGGAGTTTGGGTTCCAAGGTTGCATTGCCAAAAGCGAGCAGAGCTCCTTCCGAGCAACACTTGTAAAGACAGGGCCTAGCCTAGCTCCAAGCAAGGCTTGTTTGCCTTGTTCTGCGAGTCTGTGAACTGTCTGCAGCACGCTGGCTAGGTGAAAGCAACAGATCATCGTCTGGCAGGGAGCAGCACTTAGGAGGCATGCCTGCCGGGGACAGCACTTAAACAACACGTGTAGCTCAGCTTGTGTCGAAGTGCTGCCTTTCCAGGGAAGCCTGAAGCTTGTGCTTGAGCAGTATGGAAGCTAAATGTCCTCCAGTCAGGTGCCCAAACATAGGTTTGTGTCCACGTTACCCCACCACCCTCAGACTACATCATGTCGTGACTCAAGGAAAGATGATGCAATAGTGTAAGCACTACTTAACTGGGGTGGGGCCAGCCAGAATTTTGGTAAATATTGGGTCAATACAGTTTTCATCTACTTTATCTTCTCCATAAACATTCATTCCATTGAGGACAGCTGTCTCTTGACTCATCCCTGGAGATCAGTGCTGGTCTTGGCACCAAAAATTCAGCAATGCTCATGTTTTAATTGGCATCTCTCCTTCCAGTTGTGGGCTGTGCTGCGCAAAAGGCGTGCAGTCATTCCTGCCCCTGTGCTGCCACTGTGGGCTGAGCGGAGCTTTCCCCAGGCAGGCTTTTTCTGTCAGTGGCAAATGGAAAGCATGCCAGTGGGATGGGTTTCTCAGCACTGCTCTGATGGCAAAAGAGGCAGGAACGGCTTCTAAGAAGGGGATGAAAAATAGATTATTCAATCTTAAGACATAGGAAAACAGCATGGTTTGAAAAATAGGGACATCTGGTCATCCTACATCCGCCTCAGACTTCAAATTTCCTTTAATTGACTTCATATGGCATTGAGATTTCTTTTTGCAAAGAGGAAGCAGAATGCTTAAAGATGAGTTCTATTAGAAAGCTGGAGATCTGAAAATGGAAGGTTTCTTTATTTCTTTTAAAAATCCTGAAACACAAATAGATGCTGAGAATTGCTGGGGTTTTGAGGAATTTTTAGTAGAAATTACTTTCCCTTTTTTGCTGCAATAACAGCAACCTGCCATTTTATTTTTTCTTTCTGTAATTTTACATATAATCTTTCTTCTGGGTTAAGGAATGGAGAGGTAGTAGGTGGGTTAAAACACGGCAAAATAAGATGGAATAGTAGGATTTTTATATAAGTGAGTTTCTTGTTCTTTGACCTTGTTTGGGGCGGGAGAGGGGAAGGGAAGGAGGGAGGGGGATGAGAGAACAAGAGGAGGAGGGGAGAAACATCTAACAGGGTTCTGAAATAAAGCTGCCAAAACCAGGCAAGAGTTGATAATAAATACAAAAAGTGTGAAGGGCAATGTGGGTTTTAACTTTCATCCTCTGCCCTGATTGGTGCTATGCCAGAAAGTGTTTCTTGCCAGCAGTGTTATTAGTTCAGTAAATGCTTTGAAAATTAACATCTGTTTTCAAGCTTAGCTTTCAAGAACCAGAGAGCACCTGAGTTGTTTTTTGACTAGACTTTTTAGAAAGGCTTTTCTTTACTAAAAAAAAAAAACCAAACAAATGAGATTTTTTGGCTTAAGGCAGTGAAGTGTCAAGATTAGGCAGTCCTATAAGACAAAGCGTTGCCACTGGCTCCATATGAAATGAAACCTGCAGCACAGAAGAGATGAGATACAGTTCCTCCTCTCCTGCTCCAAGGTTGAGTAGTGCTGCCAAATCAGAGGAAGGTGAGCTTTAATAAATGCAAGATTTTAAAGATGAAAATGTTGGGTTCTGTGTAAGCACGTGGTTGAGTCACCGCATGGCAGCAGCGTCACAGGAGCCGGCCGCCTGCACGTGCTCAGCCTGTTGCAGGAGCGAGGCACAGAGCATTTGCCACCTCTGTCGCTGAGCTGTGAACTAAGGGGTTTTACATCACTTTTGCTTCAAGCTAAGTTACCACTGCTCAGCAGAGACGTGATCACTCATTAAACCATGAAACTCGATCCTGCCTCTGAGCTCTTAATTGCCTCTGATTTCTACAGATTTAAGGTCACACTACAGTGACGTCTGCAGGTGGCCATGAAAACTAGAAGCAATTATTGTTTTTTTAAATGAAATTTGAGATTTCCACTTAATAGGATTCAATCCTGAAGGCTTTAGGAAAACACCTAATATTATGAGGTTTGTATATAATAAAATCATGGGAGCTGGCAGTAGTATTGCTGTAAGAGATTTAAAGCATCAGTACCTACTGCATTAGCAGAGGGTAGGTTTTTTACGTCCTTTGGCACAACTGGCATTCGTGAGGCTCAAAACCTGCACTCTTTGTGGAGAAGAGTCCAGGAGATACAACTCTGGGATCAGCCATTGGCTCAGAAAAGTGGGGTTATGAGACATGGGGGAGATGATGGGGGAATAGTCAGGGAGAGTTATAGCAACCACACTGTTGCCCAGCAAATCCTAGGAGGCATTTTCAAAATCATTCAGCATTGGCTTCATTCTCTTCTTTTCCAATTCTTAGAGACTTCAATGGGAGGAAAGTTAGGCCAATGCTAAGCACTTTTGAAACTCCCTTTTCTAAATCTGCACTGATATAAAGTCTTGTGGAAATAAATCATCTCTTCTCCAGTGAGTTCAATGATTCCCTCGTCAGTGCAGTGCCTTACATGTTTTGATGTTAAGCACAGCATTACGTGGGCAGACCGCTAGGTCGCCCTCATACTCTGTTCTCTCTCACCTTCTTTGTTAGAAATGGCGCCTGGACACCCTGGTCTTCCTGGGCCCCATGTAGCACCTCCTGCGGAATAGGCTTTCAGGTCCGCCAGCGATCCTGCAGCAACCCCGCTCCCCGGTACGGGGGCAGGGTCTGTGTTGGACAGAGCAGGGAAGAAAGGTAAGAGATGTCCACAACGCCGTGTTTTCACTTTTGTGGTTATAACGGTAGCACCTGGAAGCAGTGGCTCTTATGTGAATGCAGATTAAGGCTGTTTGGCTGAATGTACAAAGTGGAAGGAGTTGCAGAGCCTGGGAGGGATGAGGCTGCTCACATTTATGGCCACTCTCTTTCAATGAGCCTGTGAACATCAGAGAGTTCAGAGCTGCCTCCACTCTCAGACAGGACCTTTCAGACCTTCACAAGTATTCCTGTCCCCGAAACAGAGGGATGACCTCCTCAACGAAAGGAGAAGCTGTGCCTGCTGTTAGCAGTGTAGAGTTTATAGATACAGTTACACTGCTCTGATCAATCCCTGAGGAGGCAGTTGGATATGTGCAGCTTTCATTGCCAATTGCACCATTCCTAAGTCTCTATTAATTGTGCTGATGCACCAAAAGAAGTTCAAGACAAAATACAGCTTAGCTCACAGATTCAGGGTTGAGTTTTTGCAGGGCTTGACATCAGAAAAACATCTTCCCCCCCCGCAAACTAAGCAATTTTCATGCAAAATCACTAAAAGGCAATACTTTTTGAACCTACAGAGCCATCTGCACTATTACACTTCTTCAAGCCCAACCCCTCATTAAACACATGCTTTAAGGCATCCCAATTTGGTTTCCAGATTTGACATTTCATTAAAGGCCACCTCTGCTTGGCAGTAGGCTGTTGTTTGTCCCTTGAGTGGTCACTTAAGACAGATCTCTCTGCATTTCTCAGAATACAAAGGGCAATTCATTTAACTTCCTTGATTCAGGACATTTTAATGTTTGGTTTGATTTGTGGCCATTCACAATGGTCCCTTTTGGGTTTTAAAGACTACATCTGAGTCAATTGCAGTCCTGTGTGATTCAATTTGAGAACAATATTGATTAAAAAGCTGAACAAAATTAAAGTTACCTTTTGAAAAGGGAACATGAAATAGCATTAATTTAGGGCCTGCTTTTAGATGCATATAGCATCTAGTTCGTCTCCAGTTGCAAACACTAGTTTCTTAGGGTCCAAGCAGCGGTAAGGGCCAGATCATGTGAAGAGAAGATTGTCAAGCGTTTAGCTCCTGCCATTAGTGACAGACCACTGTTGAGCTGACCTCCCACTAGTCATCCCATTGAAAATATGTACCATCCACTCTCTCTCTTTGTGACACATGGGCTTCAGCTTATTAGCTCTTTTGTGAATTCAACGCATAAAAGATTTGAGTTTAGAGCATTTTCAAAAACTTGATCTTGACTGTTTACTCCAAATGTCTCACTGAGGTCAGCCTGCTTAACCATTCCCCATTCTGTACAAAGGGTACAGTTCTCTGCTGTCAACGGGAATATTGCTAATCTGATTGTTGTGTCAGCCTTCTGCTGGCTTTCTGTGCATGCATGAATTGCACCCAAATGCAGTGTGCAGTCTTGCGTCCATCACCACTTTGACCCTCGGATGTGCTGACAGGGGTATTTTTTGAGCAATGCACTTTCTTCTTTCAGATTCTGTAATGAGAACAGTCCATGTCCATTACCGATTTTTTGGTCTTCATGGGGTCCTTGGAATAAATGTAGTGTGAATTGTGGTGGAGGGATTCATTCAAGACAGAGGTCCTGTGAAAACGGAAATACATGTCCAGGCTGTGCTGTGGTATGTATTGTTTATTGACATTGCATAAGGGGCACCTATTGACATCTAGCATCTAGGAACTTGGTATTTAACTCCTCTCTCCATCTTGGTTTTATTTCTCAAGCTGGAAGAAAATGCTATCCTCAGCTGTTGCTAGAGGGGATGCTGAAATGAACTGGGAGGCAGAGAGGTGGCAGATTCCCAAAGTCAGTGAAGCTGGTGTGAGAGTCAGTGTGTTTGTGTGTGTACAGATGGGGACAGTCTGGTGTACAGAGGACTTCCTTAGGCCTCTATAGGCTTAGATATCAAGTCCTTTACCTAAAAGTGTTATACATTTTTTTCTTTGGTCCCACTCCCAAGGATGATCCTATTGAGTCAAGGAGGCCCTACACGCATCAGAAATGAGTCTCACTGTCATACTTGAGCAAACAACAGGTCAAACACCTAGTGCCAGTGAAGCAATGGCTACCCATTTTCTCTCTTTATTTTCCCTTTCATATTCTGGCAGCTGTTTCATGCAGCTGTTTTAATTAGTTTTGTGGAGAGTCTTCTTTCAGTGTAAGCAGATTTGATCTGGAACCTCCCATCTGTTCACAAGCTGTTTGGCATTTACTCTAGAATCATGAAGTCCTGAAGCATTAAATTTCTTTCCCTCTGTCAGAAAAGACTGGTTTATTTATTTCTTTTTAAACAAGAATGCAATGTTTGTCACTGGAATTCCTCCCACTGGCGGCAAGAATTGTAAAGACCCCAAATCACCCCATCCCCAGCCAGGCAGAATGTTGTCTGTACTCAATGGGTGCTCTACACCAAGGATGGCAAATGGTTCACAGCCCTCACCAGAGAGTTAAAAAAAGCCAACCAAACGAAAAATAGCTGTAAAAAGAGATAATCTAAATCCACCTTAAAAATAAAACAATAAACTTTTTAAGGAACAAACTTTACTGACATTTTGTCCTCATGGGGCTCCTCTAGGCTGACCTGAGAGCAGCATCTCAGGGTCACAGCAGAAAACTTGTTTGCTGTTATTGTTATCTATTGCCTGAATTATTCTTCTGCCCATAATGTACCAAGCTTTTGAAGCCCCACAGGACTTTGAGTCAGCAAAGAAACACAAACCTGAGGGAGACATAAAAATAGCAAGCATAGTTCACCCTTGAGGTCCATCTGAAGCTATGCACCACCACTGCCTCCATAGTCACCACATTTTGTGCTGTGTCCAGCACTGGTTTGTGTCTGCGAGGTCACATAAGGTGGATGGAGGTTGTTTTAGATCCAGAGCATACCCCCTTATTTTCTGGAGTGTAAATAAACCCATCAGTTAGGCTGCTGCGGTTTAATAAGTAAGGAGAGAGTGGTTTTCCTTCCTGGCAGGAATATAAGACGTGCAACCCAGAGAGCTGCCCAGAGGTGCGCAGGAACACACCCTGGACCCCTTGGATGCCTGTCAACATCACGCAGAATGGTGCCCGCCAGGAGCAGCGCTTCCGTTACACGTGTCGTGCTCAGCTGTCTGATCCCCACGAGCTGCAGTTTGGGAGGAAGAAAACTGAGAGTCGATTCTGCCCCAATGATGGCTCAGCAGTGTGTGATACTGACTGTACGTCTTGCCAGCTCTGGGGGACCATAGGGCAAGCCTAGATTTGGTGGTGGAAGGGGGATCCTCTCAGATCAACAAGAACCTGATTGTGTCTACATAAGTCTCAACATGTACAATTAGTGTCCCTGCAGAATGGCCGGGATGGAGTGAGCCCTGTGACTTAGAGATCAATACAGTTGTGAGCTCTGTGCTTATGGCAGTGTATAGACTTGTTCTTGCTACTGCCAGGCTGCCCCAAAGAGAACAGGCAAGTAATGAGGGTGTATAGAAGAAAAGAGCCATTCTACAGGACAGTGTGTCTTTACTCTTCTTTCTCTCTGGAGGTCCCCTTGTGCACTGCCTCTGGGGTTATTCCCTTCAGTACCGCTGTGATGCAAGGCAGTGTCCTGAGGCACAGCCTCAACTGCCACAATATGCTGCCCAGAAAGGTCATATGAAGGTTATCAGTAGATTCAGTTTGTGTGTGTACAGATTTCTTTTTGTGTCTAGCTTAGCTGTAACCCTGTGGAACAAAACTCTTGCTAAGGGCTTTCAACAGAAACTCTTCCCCAGGGCACACAAATCCTGATTTTATTAATGAGCTGAAGCCATTTTTAAAAGCCCAGCAACTGATTGATTTGTGATCTCGTGGTGTCTTGTTTGTTTTCCTTGAAGCTCTTGTTGATGACCTCCTCAAGACTGGTAAGACTTCTGCACGGATTATCAATGGGGGCTGGTCCTTTTGGGGGGCCTGGTCTTCCTGTTCCAGGGACTGTGAGTTGGGCTTTAGGATCAGGAAGAGAACATGCACAAACCCTGAACCTAAAAATGGTGGCTTGCCCTGTGTGGGGTCAGCGATGGAGTACCAAGACTGTAATCCGCATCCCTGCCCAGGTAACCATGATCATCTTTCTGCATGAAATTCAGAGGTGTTCTTCCCCATCTTAATGGTAGAGCCACAAAAAAAAAAAAAATCAGTATTTCCAAGCTGCCTTTTTTTTTTTTAATTTGGGGGATTTTTCCTTAATTTTTTTAAAGCTATTGTAATGACCCATGTATGTGATTTTTAGTGCTATGACTTATGTTTCACCTTGGCTCAGAGGGTAACACAGCCACATCCTCTAGAGGAAGTAGTATTGTGGCTTGTCTAGCAATTTTTTGCTTCAAGGTTTGATGCTCCATCCAGTGGAGGGCATCACGGTGCATCTGCACCTTGCTGAGGAGACAGGCTTAATAAATGTGGCTTAATACTGTGTAGAGATGCTTGATGTGGCGGTTCTTCTTGTGAACACTTGTTTCTTCCCCCTCTCCTGCTTACGTATTGTTCTTGCGATGGGCATCTACTCTTGACATCAGTTACCATTTCCTGCACAGCCAGCAGGGAGTATTCTTGCCTGGTTTCCTGGTTTTCGAGTTTGTCTTCATGTTTATGTTGCACTCCTGGTCCAGAATAGTAATAATAGGCCATTGACTACTGTATTCTTTCTCACTTATCCTTCTCCTTGCTCTGTAATAACTATCTATCTAAACTAAATTTAAGTGATCTTACACAAATTACCTTGCCTCTGTGCAGTTCTAGCAATTATCTACCTCTGGCAATATAGTTTGTGGCCTACACTTGAAAATGCTATATTAGAATAGTATTATTATGATTCTAAAATTCAATACAAAGATAAAATTCCAATGCAGATATGATCAGAATGTGCAGCAAGAGCATAGCAAAAGTGTCAAATATTGCACTCTATGACTTATAAAAAGAAAATAATTCTAGCACTATAAAGGCAGCTATTAGTACTATTTTGGAAGCTCTCAGTGGCTTTTCACTAATGTCTGTGCCCTTCTGTGCTGTTTTCTCCCCTTGGACACTATGATGTTTTACAATCTGTTCTGAGTGCATGATTACTATTTCTCTGTGTCTCCGTCTTTCCCTGCCTCACTCAATGTGTATACACAAATCCTGGGTTTATCTTGCACTAAGTCATCAGGTTATTATATTCTGAATTAACGGCATGTGGACCTGCAAATCAGGCAGTCTAGTAGCCTGACAAGGGGTGGGGTGGGAATCAGGGATCCTAAGTCCCTCCCTAGTTTAATTATTAAGCTGTTATGGGGCTGTGCTCAGATCATAGAATCATAGAATGGTTTGAGTTGGAAAGGACCTTTAAAGGTCATCTAGTCCAACCCCCCCTGCAATGAGCAGGGACAATAAATAAAGCCTCTGAGTTTCTGTTTAGTGAAGGTTGGAATTAGTGGACTCAGGGGCCCCCACAGAATGGTGCCATATAAGCTCCACTTAAGTTTTACAGCACTTTTTTCCCAAGTAAATCTGCTGTTGTTGTAGGTGAAGCGTCAGGAGACAATATAATAATAACAACGTTGTTTTCTAAAAAGGTGTAGAATAGAATAGAATGGAATAGAATATTTCAGTGACTACCCTAAAGAATATGCACTTTATGATGCAGTGTCTTTTTGTGCATAGACTTCATTCTGCATCCATAGAGTGCAGCACGTTCGTACCCTCTCTTGATATGAAGTTCTTGTTGTCAGGCCCAAATGTCCTGGGGTGCAAGAAACTGCTAGCTAGTCTGGGCAGGGTGGATCTGGAAGGTGAGATACCGGGACTCTCCAGCTTTGTCACAGTGAGAGGAGTAACCAACAGCATCTACCTTTCTCTCCTTGCTTTTCAATGTCCTTCAGTGAAAGGCTCATGGTCTTGCTGGACTCCTTGGTCTCACTGCTCAGCAACCTGTGGAGGAGGACACTACCAGCGCACACGGACTTGCACCAATCCAGCTCCGTCTAGCGGAGAGGATATCTGCATTGGTCTGCACACCGAGGAGGCCCTTTGCAACACGCACCCATGTGAAGGTAGCCAGTTCTCGTCCCTGCTCCAGTTGGCTTGGGCGGTGCTGGGAGCAAGGCTCATCTGCAAAACGTTTAAAAATTAAATCAGAAACACCACCAGTTAAACGCTTTTCTGTCCATTCACTAAATGTCTATTGAGCCAGGTAAAAAGGAGACATCCCAGTGTTCAACTGCTATGCATCACCTTTCTCTTTACCTGTTCACTAGCCCATGCTCTGGCATTCTGGTGCTGGACAGGAAAAACCTTGTTAATAGCTGATCCATTTAAAGTAATTGAAAAAGCAGGAGCTTGGTTCTTCAATGTGGAAGCTTACAAGACAAACAAAAGGAATCATGAAGCATCAATCTGTACAGCTGCTGAAGGGACAATCCTTCCTTTTTCTCACTCAGGCAGATGAGCATGTGCTACAACTCAGAGGACAGGTTTTGGATCTGTGCTGGTTTTGAACCACCTCTGTGTACTTTCTGATCCAGTGCAGACTGACTCCTGCCCTTAGGAACCTCAGCAAAACTCTCTAACTGCTGTAACTTGTGCTGACTGCTTGAGGTATCCCTGGGAGGCCACCTCAAAACTTGAAGGTCCTGGTGCAACATTGCCCCGTCCAGCTCCTTGTATGTCTTTAACCAGAGAGCCGATATAGGAACTTTTAAGACAACTCCATGCTGCACAGTGCTCCACCAAGGGTTGGTTCAGTCCATATTAAGAAAACTACAACCTGACAAGTAGGGTATGATGCTTGCACTGTTATTTGTGTTGAGGAAATTAAATCCACTAAAGGCCTCTGGATTAGATGTGCGAGAGAGGCCCAGGCCAGGATCTAGACATCCTTCAGGAGGGGAGAAGTTTGGTATCTACAAGGGAGCCTTTTCCTTCTTGGTGACGTTGTCTGTGTGTTTTCCTGATCTTGGATTTCAGGTGGCTGGTCAGAGTGGTCAGAGTGGAGCCTGTGTAATGAAGAGGGCATCCAATACCGCAGCCGTTACTGCGAGGTACACAGCCCAGACTCTTCTCAGTGCATCGGAAACAGCACGCAGTACCAAGATTGCCTGTATAATGAAATTCCTGGTATGTACAGTGTCATTGAGGAGGGAGAGGGTGGGCCAATTCAGGAGAGCAGCTCGTGCCCAGACTGTCAAGCTAGGCTGAGATTTTCTCTACTATAAATTGCGTTTGGATGCTTCTAGAAAAACAAGCAAACAAACAAATATGTTATAAACTCCCTTGTGGCAGGCACAGGGTAACTGGCACACCTTTAAGGCAGCTTAGCATTTCTTTAAAACAGAATTACCTAGATCTGTAATAAATAACTGGTATTCCTTCACCTGAATTGAAGCTTTTAACCTTACATAGTTCATCTCAGGCTTGGTTATAAAAATTGTCTCTGTTCTCAGCATGGATATGGGCAACAGAAGGTCCTTGAGTTCAGGTATCAAAAGAAGTATCCCAAAAGAGCAAAGAAATAAGGTGAGGCAGATGGAGAAAACTGGTGTGTGAAGTGGGGAGATTAATCAAGGGTCTAACAGCGACACTGTTGATGGACAGATGGTCATCAACATCTTCCACCCTGTGTTTTGTGGAAATTTAATCTCTCAGGCAAATATTTGATATGGGTCTCTACTGAATAACCCCTTTACACATGTTCTTTTCTGGATTACAGTGCCCTGACTTAAAAATCTGAGATCTCTAGGCAATGGTATTCTTCTTTTTCATGGTTTTCTCAGCTATCTTCTTTCCCCTAAATTGAAGCAGCTAAGGAGTGATCAGGTAACAGTACTGGAATTGTCAGGTCTTTGGAGAGGTTTTGTTGCATGTATTTCACACTCTGAGTTTATAATTTGATTTAGAGAGACTCTCAGCTTGCTGCAGAACATGTGAGCACCTTCTCGTGTCTGGAGCACAGGGGGTTTAATTACTTAAAGAAGTAAAGTGATGGCAGAATGACAATTTTCTCCAATCCTCTTCTCTTTGTTTAGTGATCCTGCCAGCCTCCAGCATTGATGAGAGCACGAACTGTGGAGGTAGGGTACCACTAACTATATATCTTATTTTTATCTTAACCTGGCTTCTTTTCTCCCTGTGCAGTATCAACCAAACCATTAATCTATACAGCTCATATCCCACTGATAGCCTTAATTCCACTGGAGTCTTGCTGTCTGAGTCAGACTGGAGGAATGTATCGCATGTCCACTTGTCAGTTCCAAGATTTTTATTTATTTGGGGGTTTGGGTTGGCCACTGAGACTCATTAATTACCAGGGAGCACATTGCTTGTCTCTCTACCCACAGGGTAAATGGTTCAGGAGAAAGGAAGGGATATTCCTCATTCCACCACTGTAAGCCTCCAGCTGTTTGGAGGCAGGTGTTTTTAAATAACCTATAAAGATTTCAGTGAACAGAGTCTCTTAGACAGATCCTTTGCTGATATAGGAAGAGATTAGAGTTCATACTTGTCCTCCAAGCACTTCTTTCCATTTGAGCCCTCACCTCTTACAGAATTGTGTCTCCTTTCTGCATGTAACTTGGAAAGATCCAGTCATTAGTGTCACTTTTCCACTTCCCTAGGAACCCCTATGATAAAAATGCAGACTGAAAAAAATGGCAGGTTCCTTCGACATTTTAAAATGCTAGTTTCACACTAATGACCATGACGATTCTTGCTAGCATCACATCCCTGCTTTCCTGAAATCTAGATGATCTGCAGGCTGCCAAAATCTCTTCTCCCTGTGGAGATAGTGGCAAAAAAAGGCATGCTGCCTGTGGCACGGAAATGCGGCCTCTCGGTTTGTGACTGTGGGGCAATCAATGGAATTAAGATTTCAGCACCTGCAATGTAACAGTTGGCTTTCTGCGTCACTCCTTCTCCCTCAGAGGGTGCAACGTATCTGTGTCAGTTCCAGGACTTCTTGCTATGGCTTGCACTCTACAGTTATGCAGTGTATCCACATTTCCTTCGTTTACCACCACCATTGTATTTGCTGTTGCAATCCATGGTTTACCATAGCTAATATTATTTATTACTTAGTGTTCTACAATATTTGGTGAAGAAGCCAATCAATAGGAATTCTGTTGATGCATCTCAGAAAATCTATATTTTCAAAGTGATGCACCAGAAAGCTTCCCCCCTGGGGACTCACATGCTGCAAACAAAATAATTTGGTTTTTTCTCTAAGATATGGCTAAAAGTCACCTGAAAAATCAAATGGGTCTTTCAAAGGTGAGAGTGAAATGTAAGAGAGCTTTATGTTTTAGAAAGGATTTCCTACTGTACTGACTTGCAAATGAAGCAGTTAAATGAAATAGTCACTGCAATATAAACAAAGCTGGGCAGAAGGAGAATGTGGCAGAGTGTCATGTGGCGTTACTGAGTTGTAGCTCTCATGAGTGATGTAAAGCAGGCAGAGGTTTTTAGAAAGGAAGTGTCTTTTTGGAAAAGTCTTGTAACATTTAGTAGGAAATTATCATCTTTCTGCTGGTTTTTTGGACCATCATCCAAAACACAATAGAAAGTGGTAATCTTGCAATAGAATTTTATAGTGTGGTTTAAAAAATAAATGTAGCTCATCATTCTAATAAATTCTGTATGTTCCTTACTGTAATTATGATTGAAGTGCATTACTTTGCTGTAGAACTCTATTGGGTTTGTTCTTTTTAAACTCAGGGGGATATTTTCTAACTAAAGATTAGAGGAGAGCTGTAGACTAATGGGCAGAATTCTCTATTTGAAAAGCATATCAGTTAAAATGTAAGATGGCACCAAAAAAATGCACACCGTGATCAGACTAAGAATGAAGCCCATTTAAAGCCGCTCTCCGAGTAGTCCCTTCCATTTCTCTGCACACAGTCAAGTCAACACAGCAGTCTGTCCAAATGAATTGGCTTTTTAAGTATTACAGGAATTTTACCGCTGCAGTCGCCACCGAGCCGATGTGGCTGTCCCCTGGGACAGCTGCCCTGGGGGGCCAGCAGTCAGGGCCTCCCCCCCAGGCACTAGGGCCCCTGTCATTCCTGTTTGAAAAATGACAGAGCAAAGGCAGAGGAAAGGCAGCAGCATTTAGAGTCACCCTTGCTGATTCTTTTTCTGTAGATTCCTCCCTGCGCATAGCAAGAGACAGCAGGGTCATAAAGTTTTGCCACCCATGATTGCCTCTGGTGGTTCGTTAACTTGGTGGCTGTAAAGGTCGCTACTGGTTGTTCTGTTGTCAGTGGAGATCTGTTGGTGGTTGGTTTTACCATGGGATTTGAGACTCTCTGAGGTGAGAGAGGAATGAGGAGTACTGTTTGACTTTGTCTTCCCCCCACTGGCCAGAGTTGCGAGTTAGGTACCTCACGGCGCGTGGGATGCACAACTACAGCTCCTTCCAGAGGTCAGCGCTGTGCTTGGAGGGTGCTGCTGCAATCCCATGCGGAGAGATCTCTGTAGGAGGCTTTTATAGTCCAAGATTTTTCTGTTTGAAATATTTGCACTGTAGCTACCCCGCTGGCACATGCCTGCAACTGCCTTCCTATCTTTGCAGTTTGTGGAGAAAGCCAACAAAGAAGAGTTTTTCAAGCAGTTCCCCCGTTTCCTTTGTCCACGTTATCTTTCCATTCCCCTGAGGACCTCTGTTTCACTGTTAGCGGTACAAATACACTTCGGAGGTAGTGCAGACATGGCCAAGGCAGTGCCACCCTGTGAATAAACCAGAATGCTGAGCACACTTGGATTACACGGGGGAGGAATGTGTATCTCCCCCACCCCATGCACAGTCCCATAGGCATTTTGGGCAGCCGACAAAAAGGGCTTTCCCCTCCCTTCCTTCCCCTTCAGAGAAACGCTGAGCATTTTTATCCCCTTATTTCCATGACATGCACATGCTTTGGAATCCATTAATGTGCATTGTTTGTACGGCTCATTTCTTTAGCTGTCAGCTTAACATAATGTTTAGTTTCAATATCAATAGAGGGGAGAGAGGAGAGACAGGGAGGGAGCTTTGAGAAAACAATGCATAAACCTGTTAAACTGCACAAGGCAGAGCTGCAGTGGGGAGACCAACTTGCAGGGAGATTATGTCAGTTAATGTTAGAACGTAAGACTGTGGCTTCAACAGCTTATTAACGTTGATCCCGAGATGTCATAGCTCTGACTTGCACCTGTGGTCTTGTCAGGGGAGGGAAAAAGGCTGTTCTTTAAAAATAGCATCTCTTGTCATTTCCCTTGCAGGTTTTAGTCTCATCCATCTGATTGCCACTGGAGTCTCCTGTTTCTTCGGCTCTAGCCTCTTAACATTTGTGATTTACGTGTACTGCCAGCGCTGTCAGAGGCAGTCCCAGGAGTCGACCGTTATCCACCCAACAACTCCCAACCATCTCCATTACAAGGGCAACACAACCCCCAAGAATGAGAAGTACACCCCTATGGAGTTCAAGGTAGGGTACTTGATGAGAAATACCACAAACAGCTTGATACTACCTGAACAGATTCTGTATTTATGTCACGGTTGGAATTGGGTAGGTTTGTGTTTCTTTGCCCAGCTGTTGGCATTACACGTGGGGTTGAAGGGGCATTTAGCTGTACTGTCACAAGGGGTTAAAAAGTCCCATTACTGCAATGGGATTTTGTTCTGTTTCACGGTCCTGATGAATGCCAGTCTGGCAAGTACATACCAAGATACTCCAGCCCATTCTGACTATTGTATGTATACATATTGTCCTCTAAGAAATCAGTAAGAGCTCAGTTCAGTGCATTGTTAGTGTGTGGTAAGAGGAAACGGAGGGGAGGAAGAATAAAAATGGAAACTTCATTAGAAAAATAGCTGGGAAAATGCTTATTGGTAGGATGAGATTCTGGAAATGCTTTGGGAACTACCAAATTGGAAAGGATGAGAAAGCAGAGAGGGTTCTGCCCCCTCTATCAGTGCTGGACAGAACTTACCCCAGGCAGCTACGTAGAATTCAATGATAGCAGCAGAATTGGGAGCTGAAGCCTGAGGAGAAGATGAGTGTTGAAGTGGCATGCTCTGTTGGCATGTCTGCTTGCTAAAGAGAACACCACCCATTATCTGAGCAGATAGGACTAAGGGTGCAAGAGACAATACACTGAGATGGTAGCGCATTGTTGTATTTGAGCATCAGTCTCCAGGTGAAGTGTGGGATCAGAGAAGTGAGCAGTGGGATGGGTGAAGGGGCTTCATGTCACCACGGGAGGAGCAGCCTGCCTCAGGTCACTTGAACAGTGTGGAGCATCACCTGGGACATGAACACAAAACAGAAGGAAACCTGCAGCTGCTTGTTCCTTCGTATAGCTATGTGCTGTTGACATTTTGGTTGTCTGTTTCTGCTGATCTGGCCTGGCTTCTGACTGAGCCCAACAATAAGATCAATGGTGGGACCGTTGCCATAGTCTAAACTCCTTGGGTGTTGGGGACTGTTTCTACATAGGGATTTTATAATGTGTCGTGGTTTAACCCCAGCCAGCAACTAAGCCCCACGCAGCCGCTCACTCACTCCCCCCCCATCCAGTGGGATGGGGGAGAAAATCAGGAAAAGAAGTAAAACTCCTGGGTTGAGATAAGAACGATTGAATAGAACAGAAAAGAAGAGACTAATAATGATAATGATAACACTAATAAAATGACAACAGTAGTAATAAAAGGATTGGAATGTACAAATGATGCGCAGGGCAGTTGCTCACCACCCGCCGACCGACACCCAGCTAGTCCCCGAGCCGCGATTCCCTGCCCCCCCCTTCCCAGTTCCTAAACTAGATGGGACGTCACATGGTATGGAATACACTGTTGGCCAGTTTGGGTCAGGTGCCCTGGCTGGGCATGAGAAGCTGAAAAATCCTTGACTCTAGTCTAAACACTACTGAGCAACAACTGAAAACATCAGTGTTATCAACATTCTTCACATACTGAACTCAAAACATAGCACTGTACCAGCTACTAGGAAGACAGCTAACTACATCCCAGCTGAAACCAGGACATAATGCTGGGCACAGGACGATTCCTGATACATGGCCGTGATTTGCAATGTGAATGCACATCAGAACTAAGAGCTTGCATCTAATAATTTGAAAAGAGTCGATGTTGTTTTGGTGTTTTAAAGGAAAACAGTTTGAGCTGGAAAATAACAGACCAGTTTGGTAATAAGCATGTGCTGAATTCCTTGTGTTGGGCATTGCAGCCCCTCAGAAGATCCCGCTGCCTATAAATGCAGTCTCAAAAATATATTTCCTAGCAGCATAAGGCTACAGTTGCATACAGTTTCATAAGGGTGCAGCATCATAATGCAAGTCAGCATGGATTTGTGGAAAGTAAATCATGTCAAGCAAATTGGATTCCTTTTTTAAATTAAATAAATATTGATCTAGATAGGAGGGAAGCAGCAGACATATTGGGATTTTCAGAGGCTTTTAACAAAGTTTCACAGGATGTATTATTCTACACACTCTGCATATAGGGGTTAGGTAATAAATTATTAAGACAGGTAAAGAACTCGGACCTGATCCTGGAAGCTTCAAACTATGGGAGTAATCCTTTCAGTTATGCGAACAGTTGTGGCAGAGTCTGTAGGAAGACCCAGATGAGAAAAGCTTGCAGGAATAAAGAGATAAGCAAGAGCATCCCCTTGTTTCTTACATAGCAAACAATGAAGAAAAGAGACACATTTATTTTTGTGGCCAAAAGCAGGTAATTACAGGCATTGTGTTAACAGTTTCTTCATGCTTTGTATTGTGCTATCATGTATTATCAGATGATGCTAAAATAGGAAGAATGGTCAAAATTTAGAAGGATGAAGTTGTTCGCAGAACGATCTTGATCAATTGGGTAAATGGATTATGAAATGCAGTATGTCTATGCTGAGTGGTGCAGTGGAGTAGAAGTAATAACAAAGCTAAGCAAAGTTTAAAATAGCAGCAGATTAGTTAATGTAGTATCAGGAGGGAGTTGACCTCTTTGATAGATCCATCTCTGGATACTTGATCTAGTGTGTAGTAACAGTGAGCAGCTGTTAGAGTCTTCTTTCGAGGGACATAAAGAGCCTAGGCATTAGATCAAGTTTTGAAAAGTCTAGTTTATTTAAAGGAAGGCATTAGCTAACTGGAACTGTATGAGTTAGGCTGGGGGGAGAAGGGACTTGGACACAAGGAGAGATAGACCAGATGGGGCTTATTTATAGAATGTTAGGAAGTGAAGGAGTTCAAGTGAATAAATCTGCAGTCATTGGACAGACCAAAACAAAATGTTTAGGAGCGAGGGGCTACTTGCTAAGAAGAACTCAAAGTCATACTCTTTCAGTGTGGTGAATGAGGCAAAGAGATTTACAGAAAGGGTAAAATCTGTTTATCAAGTGAAGCCCCTTTTCTCTATTCCTGTTGAATATTTCCTTATGTTTGTCTTCTCTATTGTCCCTCCTCTCTTAAACTCTTGCCTGAAAATGTCTCATTTAATACTACAAATTTGCCACCCCTCAGTGTTCCATTGAACAATGTAGCATTAGTGCAGTAAGAGAAAGGCTCTGTGTGCTCTGTGCTGTGTAATTACTTACAGAGCTTGTTATTAGCCAGCTTTAAATTTAGGAATAACTGGCAGATTTTTCTAAGGGTCAGGAGGGAGTTTTTCACGCCTTCAAGGAGCATGTGAGGTCTTATTGTGATGCTACACAATTAGCATGCAAACGACGGAGGAGCTAAAATTCACCTTCTGGAAGATGGAAGGTTGGACTGAGCTTGGATATGGGCCCATGTGAATTGAACATGTGTAGGTATGAAAGAAAGTGAAAACACCTGAAATTCCAGATTCTAAACCCGAGCAAGTTTCTATTCAGCAGGCACCAAGAAAACTGCCCCAAACATTTTTTAAGTAATGAAAGCAAAAGAATCATTGTAGGTTTGTGTGTGTGTGTGTGTGTGTGTGTGTGTGTGAAATAGTGAATAAATCCATGATTAAGGAAATACATGGTGTGTAGACTACTTTTCAGTAACGGAAAATGATAATACACAGTGACATCATGGTAGCAGAAGGCTGAGCATATGCACAAGTCTATTATTTTCCATTCTTTGATAATAATAAGCCTTCTGCAACCGTCTTTAGTTTGTTTTCATCTTGAAATATCTCTGCTCTCCAACCAGCAGGTGAACACAGTAGAAAGTGTGGCAGTGTTACATTCAAATGTACAGCAATGAATGCAAACTCATAAATCAAGGTGAATTTTATATGAAGGCAGATTTTAATGAAGGAAGTGCTAGCTGATATGAGCCTTGTTGGACATTTCAGCACAGCCATGCAGTAATGCAGATCAGATGTAAATATCATACACAATGGTGACCTATTGATCATTTAGCTGATGCTAACTTGCCTAGGCAGTGTTCTGCAGAAGAGTGTTTTATTTTTGCTGGCTTCTTTTCCCTTCCTGTTTTGCTTTCTCAAAAATGCTGTGAGGTTTATTATTAGCTATTTCAGCCATGATGTCTTAAAAGATTTCATGCATATACATTTACCAGCAGCACGTTGATTTTTATTTGTTATTCACAGATTGTAGGGGAGAGACCTTTTGGGTCACCTAATAAGCAGTTCATGTTTAATTAATTGGTTAAAGTTCATACAGCACTCTGACAATATTGAAGACTGTGCAGAACAAGAGCATGATGAAATAAAAATTATCTGCTTTTCACGTTTTGGCATGATGGGTTACAGAACCACCTACAACCTTCCCAGTACTGCCACGCCGATTAGTTAATAGCTGGCTATCAAAGCAGAGAGAGATCCTCTTTTTTAACATCTTACTTCAGCTACTTAGTGACTTACTCATGTGAGTTACTTACTAGAGTCATGCTGATGGAAAGCCAGATGATCCTGCAGTAGAAATGGGAGGATGTTGAGGTCAAGGTTGAGTCCTTGTGAATTAGGAGCTCTTGGAACAGCCACACATAGAGAAAGGGCTTGGACTGAACTTCTTCCTATTGCTAAATCCTCCACCAATAAAGAGAGCCAACATTTTATTCTACGCGCAATTTGGACAGACAGAGACGTCTGCACCTTGGTCCAAATCCAAAATCCAATGGCCTTTGGATCAGGCTAGATGGGATTAGCGAGAAATGTAAGTTTGCAGAATGGTTATGATGATGATTCTGCAGATTTTCTTCTCGATTGTGCTGGACAGACCTCCCTATGTCCTTCCTTCCTTAAACACAGCTTTAGTCATGAGTCACGTACTCAAACTCTTGCTGTAGTGATGCCTCAAATAAGCTGAGGAAGCACCTGAGCATTGCATCCGCTCGGGGCATCACTGCTGCTCTCGTAGAAGCTAAGGGCCAAGCACTGAAGTCGTGCTCAAGCAAAACGGTCATTTATATCAATGAACAAATTTATTGTGGGGGAAGATGAAGTGAGAGCTGAGTGAGATTGCCAGATATGGCAATGAAA